ATGGTTGTTAAAGCAAGCCAGTGGTTTGCTATGGGTGTGATTTTATAGAAAACTGGAAATAAGGCCTAGTTTTCAAGAAAACCTTTATAAAACCTGACTGCAGGATGTAGCAAATGCAGCCATGTTGCCAAGCAACAAGTTGGCAAGAAGTTTGGCCATGTTCTAAGTTGAGTCACATGCAATGTAATATTATTATGTTTGTTATTTGTTATTGTTTTTTTCTGGAATTCTTAACATTATTTGCTGATGATGATGGCTTCTATTGGTATGTAGTATTTTGAAATCTTACATATTTAATATTTAATGTAAATGATATTTCCGTAATAATACCAGTAGTCCTCAACTTACAACCATCCTCAGCTTATCAGCATAATTGATTTTTGTTGCTAAGTCAGACTTTTGTTAACTGAGTTTTGCCCCATTTTACGAACTTTCTTGCCACAGTTAAGTGAATCACTGCAATTACTAAATTAATAACATGGTTCTTTAATAAATCTGGATTCCCCATTGACTTTGCTTTCAGAAGGCCACAAAAGGTGGCCTTCTCACATGACCCTGGGTAATTGCAACTGTCATAAATAAAACCAGTTGCCAAGTATCTAAATTTTGATCATGTGACCATGGGGATACTGCAATTGTCGTAAGTGTGAAACACAGTCATAAGCCACTTTTTCAGTGCTGTTGTAACTTCGAGCAATCACTAAATGAACTGTTGTAAGTTGAGGACTGCCTGTAATTGGTCTATTTTACAAAACAAGATACAGATAATATGAACTAAGCTGTGATACAGAGAGCATATGGAGATAAAAGAGTAAAGCAAGGAGAAGCCTGCCTTTTACTTTCACCATAGATAGAAATTGACATACTTTCTCATCATGGCAGTCAGAAGAAAAGCTGCTAAATTAGGACACAAAGAATCATTAGAACAATTTGCAGATAAGATTATTTCCTTAGGGGTCCTGCAGAAAACATTTGAGGACTTCACTGAAAGAGAATTGTCACTATTGGGGAGAATCTTGGATAAAAACGAATCTTTTGCCACAATGGATTTATTTCAGAGATTATCTGTTTAAATGTACCATTTAAACAATGGCAAAAATATATCTAAATTTTATATAGCTAGAGAAAAAAAAATTAAAGTCAAATATAAAGTGTTGCAAGATGCAAAGGAAAGAAAACTGGATTTATCAGATTTGAAATTGTATTATACTGCTTGTTGTTTTGGTCTGGATGAAAGAATGGATATTGCGGAGAAACGAGACTTTTACAGTTAGCTGACAACCTGATGTTTTGATGACATCTATCTTTATGGTGTGATAAAGTTTAATGTAAACTTTAAAATTTTTATTAGATATGTGATATTGAGAATATGGAATATATATAAACTCAGTTGGTACCCAAAAACACATTTATGGATCCCAGCTCAAAACTCGTATCATAGAAGAGAACTGGCAGACTTGGAAATTTAACTACTTGATGTACTGGGACTTTTTGGAAAACAGTCAAAGGGAATTTAAAATCAAATCAATAGAGCAATTAATAACAAAAGAATATAGTTGTCAGTGGTTTTTCTATTTATAGCTTTCAGAAAGATTTAAAATATATGGCTAAAGGGATTGAAATTTACATTGTGTTGTGATCCCAAAGAGAAATTTTATAAAAAGATGTATTATTGGTACATGATGCCAAAGTATGTATAAAGATTGTATAAAGGCACTTCAAATGTATGTTGGAAATGTGAAGGGACATTTTATAATGCTGGGTGGGCATATATAAATGATAAACAATTTTATTCAAATGCATATTTTGATATAGAGAATTTTAAAAATCAATGTTCAATTGAAGACAGAATTTTTTCTTTTAGGACTAATGGATAAACATAAGAAACAATATTATTTCAACATATGATTACTATGGAGAAATTACTGTATACATAATGATGGAAAGAATCAACACTACCTATTATGGAGGAAGGGTTGATGAAGTTGACAGATTTTGTTGAAATGGATAAATTGGTTTCTTTGGTTACAGAAAAGATATCTATATTTATTGGTGATTGGAAGACTCCTATGGAATTTTTGTGTAAATATAAAGCATGATTTATAGACAGGATAGATTATAGAAAGAAAAGTAATATGATGGAACTTTAGAGAGAGTTTAAATATATTAATAAGTGTTGTGAAGAATATTGAAAGCCACTTCTTTATATTTTTTCTTTTCTATTTTTCCTTACTTTTTTCTTCTTTTTTGCTCTTTTTATTTTGCATTTGATTTTTTTCTTTCTTACTAATAGTTTGCATTACTTTTTAATTTCTTGTTCAAAGATATCAATAAAAATTACACACACACACACACACATACACAGCACACACACACACACAAGTCTTCTAGCGCATGAACATCATCCCATGTGCCTAAGCAAGCAGGCACATACAGTACATGAAGCAGCAGCAACATAGGAAGATGCTGGCAGCAGATGATCATGTGACAGTGGCAAAGGCATCAGTTCATACTGCCTAGTAAACCACTCCTGTATTTTTACCAAGAAAATCACATGGATAGAAAATCTAAAATAATTGACAATATAGTCCAGATGATGGCCTTATAGAGATTCCAGATAGATTGTTGTCTTGAGTCATTCCTAGATGCTTCTGTTCAAATTTAGGGCAAAGAGCCAGCTTTAGTGGCAAAATCAGCTGTTTGTCAGAAGGAGAGGAAAAATCGCCTCAGTGCTTAGCCGCCATTTTGGTGGACCTCAATATTAGTTTTTTTTACTTTTCCTTTTTTTTGTGGAGGCTGTGATGGAATGTTTCATCCATATATCTTTTCCTTATATATGGATGGTATGTAACATGAAGTTAAGAACTTACATTGCATTCCTAACTTGTGTTCCCAGAGGAGTTGAACTTCAAAAAAGGCTATCCAGCATGAGTAACAATGAGAAATTCAGCTAGGGCTGGAGAGGGAAGCAAGTGAAAACACTTTAATTTGAGAATGTGGTTGATTTTTAGCTATTTTTGTTTTGAACTTTGTGAATTGGAAATTTAGGAAGACTTCTGAAGCAAACCAGCAATTACTCAGAAGTACTGACTCATAGGTATTAGTGAGCCCCAGATGAAATGAGCTAAGTTTAATCAGCATTTTCTATTACTTAAGGAAAATAAGTATTTTTGTAACCTTATGTAGATAATCCAGCTACAGTTGGGATAGGCAAATCCTGCGTTTTGGACTATGCTAAAAATGTAAACAATGTATCAACTCAATATTCAATGTTTCATGCAAACTGAATTGTGACTGTTCATTTGCAACAGGAACACCATATTGGTAAACGGTGCTTGATAACTATTTCTTAGCTATTAGTGCGATTGAAGTGCTAAACATATTTAAAATGTCTCTGAACATGGTTTCTTTAGAATTGCATGAAAATTAATATTGGGCTTGCTTCATAAATAGTGTACCGAAACTGGTTTTGGAAAGAAGACAGCTTTCAAATTTGCAAACAATGCATGCACAATGTGATCTCTGGCAGAAGGAGAATAATTGAGTTGTATATATGAGTATTTCTTGTTTAGGGTTACGCCCTAATTTAGTTTTTTAATACAAGTAGTCCTTGAATTACGACCACAATTGAGCACAGTTTATGTTGCTAAATGAGAAATTTGTTAAGTGAGTTTTTCCCATTTGACAACTTTTCTTGCATGTTCGTTAAACGAATCACTGCAGTTGTTAAATTAGTAACACAGTTGTTACTAAGTGCATCTGACTTCCCATTGCCTTTGCTTGCCAGAAGTTCTCAAAATATGATCACATGACTTTGGGACACTACAACCGTCATAAATATGAACCAGTTGTCAATCATGCAAATGTAAATTGTGATGCTGCAATGGTCGTAAGTGTGAAAAATGGTCATAAGTCACTTTTTCAGTGCCATTGTAACTTCAAATGGTCACTAAATGAACTGTTGTAAGTCAAGGACTATCTGCAATATTTTTATTGCTTCAAATCTATAAACAGAAGGAAAGGAGGAGCCCAAATAAAAATATTAAAAGGAAATAAAAAAGCAAGAACACGTCAGTAACAAACCCCAAAAAATATTGGCCATAAGAGTAAAATTTGTCAGACTTTCTACTACTTTGATAAAAGACTATTATGCAGGCATTAAAGCAAATGCATGTCTTCCAACCAGGGTTTTAAATCAAAGCATAGCATTAGAATCTCTCCATTGGAGTAAAACAGTCTTCCTAAAAGCAGCTGCCAAATGATTAATCTCGATTTCTTTATAATTTGGCAGGTTCACAATTTTTTGAAATATAATTTAACATCACATTGATGTGTTCATTAGGATAATGATTCAACATTTCTTTAAAATATTAACTCATTGATTTCTTAAAATCAAATTTTATTGCATTGATTTCCTATTATTAGTCATTTAAAGTTGCCTGAAATATCTCCATATCAATCTTTATACAATTTTCAATTGTATAAACATTTAACTCTAGACATAGGAAAATTTTCTCTAAGAATAAAAATTTAGGTGTTTCAGATGTTGCCAATTTAATAAGACTAAATTGTAACATCAAAAGGTGTTATAATTGAATACAATGCCATATAACAGTGTAAAGTAAACCAAATTCAATTTTTAGCCTTTCTTTTTTTGCCTCATATTCAAATGCAGCCACTGTAAGTAGGAATTCTGGCCATATTGGGATTCTTATGTTTAATTTTTAAATTTTTACTTCTAACTCCATCCTAATTTAACACTTTGATACTGCTATCTGATCTATATGCCAGATGGCCCTATAATGAATGATGAAGTGCACACTTCTGCTGTTTGAGTAGCTGGTATTGGAGAAATGTCAGATATTTATATATTAATAATGGGGATGTTTTTTTCTGTTCAGTGCTTAGATGTAGCAACTAAATGGTGCTACATTCTGCAAAACTTAGCTAGTAGTATCTCAGCATAATTTACTAGGGTTTTTCTCTTTCTGGATTTACAGAGATATGAAAAATGCTGTAATTGGAAACAACAAACAAAAAGCCAACTTGATTGTTTTGGGAGCAGTTCCAAGGTATGTCCTCTGCTACTCTCATTTTCACTGATTCACAGCAGTCTCATTTAGCCATTAAGGACACTTAATTTCCTGACTGTAGCTGACTATTTTTTCTATAGCTGAGATTAGTATATCTGATTTTTTGCTATAAAAATTGTTTGTATGGATACATCTGTGCTGAAAAATTTGGAAAGAATGTCTGTTTCAAAGCTATGAAAATAGTTCAAAAGTCACTGGTTAATAAAGCTTCTGAAATAAATGTCTAAACCTGTTTCTTCCATGTCTTACTTGCATGAAGATTTCATATAAGAATTTGGGAGGAAAACACTTTTAATTTAAAAAAAGAAGCAATTTATACTTTTCCTTTTTAAATTGTGAAGTTAACTTCTAGGCCTTCTAATTACTAATCTTTTATCACAAATTTCTACAATTTGTTTAGTGTCTAACATGCTGTTACCAAGTTTCTCATAGTAAAAATAAAATATCGATTGTTTCATGTAAATTTGTGGATCTACACCACTTTTTACATGTTCCTCGGACCTTTTGCCATAAAGCTGTCTGAAAATCAATAATCTTGTGACCATTAACAAGACTCATATTCTTCAACACCATTTTTATTTTTATTTCATTTATATCCTGTATCTCCATAAGTAAAACCACTTACTTCAATTCCATTTTTATAATGCTTTCATTCTATTGTTGTTTTTGACCTTAATTTTTTTAATGGAAGAAGCCTTTAGTTCCTCTTGTTAAAACAATGGGCTTCTGAATTAATTGTTGATCTACTGGAAAGCATTCCAGAATCAACCAGTAGAACTTGATCTCTCCCCACCTCCGAGCCTAAAGTTACCCAGCTGGATTTTATATGTAAAGCGGAACTAAAACTCACACTTCTCTGGTTTCTACTCTGGTGCTTTAACTACTAGATGACACTGGATCTCACTATATACTACTAACATAAGGTTCTTGTCTATTTCCATCACATATAGCCCTTGTGTTTTGATGAATAATTTAGTGACCATTCACTGTTACGATGGCACTAAACTAAGGGGACTTATGAAAGGTCCTAGAAGTTCTTGCAGTCTCAGTTTCCCTGACCAGCTTTTACAACTTCCCTGTCATCTTCCCACAAAGTCAATGGAGAAGATACAGGAGGTTCACAAGTTGCCCCCACTGCTCTTTTGCCCACCCAAAACACCCGCATAGTTCACACACTTCATAGTACCTACCCAGCTACCTGCACTCCTTCATGGCACCTGCCCATGGGAGCTGCCAACAGCCCCCCCCGCCCCCCCCCAGGCCTACTTGCCTGGGACTCGCATCTCTTTTTTATGGTCTCATGAGGTTGTCGCTTAAATACTTGTGTGGTCCTGTGGTTGCAACAGCATCTTGGGCTGTTGGGATTGCCATCACTAAGCAATTTGGTCACATGATGTCATGATTTATGGCCACATTTCTTGACAATGAAAATTCTGGTCCCAATTGCTGTCATAACTTGAGTACTACCTGTTACATGGGCTTCCCCCCTCCATTTGTACCAATATGTTTTTTGCTTTTATCAGCATAATTAAAATGTCAGCATTAATAATTATGAGTAAAGTATATGATAGACCTGGTTTACTCATAATGTGCTCTTCAGTTGTTACCTCTAGTGCTCATAGAATCTGAAGGCAAAACAACACTATTTTGAGATTGAGGTTATGTGATTTGACATATCTTATGGTCCAGATAATCCACAGACCAGATGCAGCTGTCGAACCATTTTTTTGGTCCACTGTCTGGTACTTTCCTTGTTCATGCCACAGAAATGCAATTTTATTCTGATTTTGGAGAAGAAATAATATAATTATTTGAGCCTTAAAATAGGGTTAAGACCTTAAACTTACATCAACTGCCTCATAAATTCTGAAAAAATGTTCTCATTTGTATTTGTTTAAAATTTGCTTTGTCAGATTTTAACATTTTCATAAGCAGAGTAATTATATGGCTACCTACCTGAATGCTTTATTCTTTTACTTAGTAATTTTTAGATAAGGCCCCCTTGATTCTTGATTGATTAGAAAGGTGAAACATAAATCTAAGCAAATAAAGACTTATATCAGTCAAATTAATATAACTCTTTAGTATGATACAAATATAACACCAATACTTTCAAGCTTTTAAAAATAGATTAGCTTTTAAAAATTCAAATAGAGAATTTGAATTATAAAAGAAAAAGATTTCAAGCAAACAGGAGGCACATATCCACTAATTTGATGACCAGAATCTGTTAATATTAATCTACACTGAGAAATGGTAAATTTAATTCTTATTCTTAATATACAAATTCTAGAGTCCTTCAGTATTTCTTGGACTGGAGAGATTCAGATTCTTTTTCCTATTAGATCATAGAACTCATTGAATAACTTTAGGTTAGTGAAGATAAAATTAAGGCAGACTGTGCTGTATATAATTGGACTCATTCCAACTCAAAACAGGATATACATGTGTTTAATATAAAAAATCAGTACTCAGTCACCAGTAGGATATACATGTCAAGTTAATTTAGCATTAAGATAACAATGGACAAAAATGGTTTTAGTTACTGAAAATAAAATTGCATACAGAGGCAAATTATTTACTGCAAAGTAGACTATCTAATCTCCCCTCATATTTGAAAAAAATATGAAAGCAATAATGCTGGAGTTCAAGCTGAGCAACAGTTTGTTACAATAGTATAGTACAAGGAATTGTTTTTGACTCAGACAGTGGTTATATAGAAATGTAACTTGTATATACCCAAGACTATGTTGCTGATAAAGTAATTAAGTTGCTTGGTAAAACTTCATTAATGTGCAACTTAGTCCTTTTGATAAACAATATAGGAAGAGGTTAATGATTATTTTTTTTCCAAAATATGCTTTATTTGCATTGCTAAAGTAAATTTGTTTTGTGATCATGAGGAAGATATTGAAATCACATAAATCAATTAACTTTTTAAATTTATTTATATTATACAGATGAATAATAATGATGAATCAATTGTAGACAAAAATGTCCTCAAAATTTCACTTCCTTGACATTTATAAAATACCAAAGCTCTTCTGGTATATAACTGCAGTTCTATGCATTTTTACTAAGGAGTAAAACAATCCTTGGTAATGGTTTGAGTAAAACAATCAAACTCAAAATTACTTTCTTCTGCATAGACTTGAATGGGTTTGCACTTACATATTTTGTTGAGTTTATATGCCACTCTAGTGATGCCTTACAAACTTCCAAAACAGTAACAAGATTTTAAAAAATGGTATAACAACATAAATAGAAAAAACAATATAACTTCCCAAGTGCCAAGGAGCTACCATAGCCCTTATAGTTAGTTATTCTTCAGGAGAACAAAAACAATCTCTAAAACTCCTGACAATATATTTCACCTTATCCTATATCCTTTCCTAATTCCTGTATTTAATAATGGAAAAAAGGAGAAGAAAGGGTCCTGTTGTTTATGCTGAAATCCACTTGCATTATTCTTCATGTCTCCTCCAATACCTTGTTCCCTGTTTATCCATGATTCTTAATCTGGTATTCATTCATTCATTCATTCATTGTTTCAGTTTGTATATCACCTATCTCAAATACATGCTTCTGGGCAGGGACAGTAATTAAAACTATTTATTTATTTTATTTGCCGCCTATTCGCCCATGGCGACTCGAGGCGGCTTACACAATGTAAAACCATACTTAAAACGAAAAACAAAAATAAAAAACAATAAAAACTAAAGTACAATAGAACAAAAATCTGGAAAAAATAAAAAAAATAAAAAATCAACTCCCAACCCCCCACCCCGACGACAGGAGATCACACTAGCCATTTGATGGGCTCCATCCCGCTCTGGGTTCCCCAGGCCCACTGGCAAAATCAGGTCTTCCGTGCTTTCCAAAAGACTGCTGGAGTGGGGGCCATTCTAATCTCTGGGGGAATGATATTCCAGAGAGAGGGAGTCACCATGGAGAAGGCCCTTCTTTTGGGTCCCACCAGGTATAACTCCCTCAGGGATGGGACCCGCAATATTTCCTGCCTCAAGAAGTCAGTAGAGTCAGGGTGAATCTAATTTTTGAAAGCTGAAATATATGTACTATTGTAGGAGTACCAAAAGCAATAAGCTGAGCTAATTGTCAATTATAATAACCAAAAATTGAAATATCCAACTTTTCCCAACATCGGTAATGTGTTTCCTTCCTATTGTTGAAGAAAAACAAAAAAGGGCAGGAGAGAATCTCTGCTTGATGTTATGAGAAGATGGAAGGCTTAGCTGCTTTTTCTCCTCTCTTAGCAAGCTTCCATTCTTGGTGAAGAGAAGAAAAATTTAGCCACTATAATTGGAGAAGAGAGGCAGGTTTGTGGGAGGACAAGGAACGCAAAGCAGATGTTACTGCTGGGAACAGCTACCTCAAGAAGTTTTGTATTTTCCCCTAAGCCTTAAAACACACATACAACTTTGTTTGCTGGGGAGGTTTCAATTGAAATGGCCATGGAGGCAGAGAACCTTGCATCTGGATGGGAGAGGAGCGTGGTATTTGGAATTCTGCATTTACCAAACTTCTTCAGTCATCCTTTCCATCTGAATGACAACATTTTCATAGAAAGTTGCATTGAATTTTCCAGTAGAAAATACCACTTCTCCAAATGAGCTGTTCAGAGCATCCAGGCATGGGAGGTGCTTTTGTCTCTCTCGTCTGATAGGCTGAGCTGAATTCTGAGGAAATTCCTCTTCCTTGAGGCTCCTCCTTAGTGTCCCCAGTTTTTTGCTCAGCCTTCATTTTCTCTTTGCTGGATTCTCTGAAAGCAGAAAAATACAAAAAAAGGTCAGATCGCAGCTTCTGACTGCAAAAAGAAAGTCGCGACTTTTAAAAACATCAGATATAGCTCCTGACGCCACTTTTAATATTAGCTGGCTGTCTGAGTTTTTAAGCCCTCAGCGAGGGCTCCAGTGGCGCTCCTAGCACTCTTAAGCCGGCACCTGAGCACTTTCCCCTCA